AGGGTTCAGGGCTTAGGGTTTAGGGTTTAGGGTTTAGGGTTTAGGGTTTAGGGTCTAGGGTCTAGGGCGTGTCTGGAGGCGCTCTAAGCGCAATTCTCTGCCCCTGCTGGAACAGCGACCCCTCAACCCTGAAGCAAATCAGCAGCAGCAGCAGCAACCGCAGCAGCAGCAGCAGCAGTAGCAGTAGCAGCAGCAGATGGGTTGCATGCATGCAATTTGAATCTGCTGCGCAGACACTTGATGGGGTGTACGTGGAGGCCCTCGTTGATGCGGCGCTGGAGAGCGACAAATGGACAAACAAAACTGTAAGCTGCTGCTGCTGCTGTTCCTGCTGCTGTTGCTGCTGCTGCTGCTGCTACTACTACTGCTGTTGCTGCTGCTGCTCCTGCTTGTGCCGCTGCGGTTGCTGTTGCCGCTGCGGCTGCCGCTGTTGCTGCTGATGCTGCTGCTGTGTCTGCGTTTGTGCGTGCCTCTGTGGCAGCTGCTGCTGCTGCTGCTGCTGCTGTGTCTCTTATCTGTGCTGCTGCTTGTGTTGCTGGGATTGTGTCTGTGCTGCTGCTGCTTCTGCTGTTCACCTTTTTACCATTGCTCTGTTACCGCTTCAGCTACTGCTAATAGAAGCCAGTTGCTGCTGCTGCTGCTACCGGTCTATTACTGCTTCTGCTGCTGCTGCTGCTGCTGCTGCTGCTGATTGCTGCGTCTTGTGGGTCCTTCTGTTTAAAGGCCCTTCGTTGCTTGGAGGCCCTTTCGCGGCCAACTGACCCGCTCGGGTCCCTCAAATCTCAGCAGCAGCACCAGAAGCAGCAGCAGCAGCAAGAGCACCAGCAGCGGAGGCATGTGCTGCAGCAGCTGGTGCTGCAGCGCATGCAGCAGCAGCGCGCCGCTGGAGCTCTCAAGTGAGGATGGCTGGTGCTGCTGCAGTTTATTTTTCCAAACATATCAGGTTTTTCAATTAATTAAATTAATTTAATTAAATTAATTAACTAAAAAGCCTTTTTAATTAAATTAAATCTGGAATTGCATTTGCCAAATAGCAGGGTCAGAAGTGCTTCGCAGTGCTGCTGCTGCAGTCCACCTGGCGCTGCAGCAGCAGCAGCAGCTGCAGCAGCAGCAGCTGGAGCAGACCCGTGGCGGGGCAGCCCCAGCAGCAGCATTGGCCGCTGCTGCTGCTGCTGTGCTGCGGTTGCTGCATTTCGCCGAGTTCTGTGTTCTGCTGCTGCAGCAAAAAAGCCGCTGCTGCTGCTGCTTCTGGCGCTGCTGCTGCTGCCGTTTGTCTTTGACTGTCCAGAGCTCCTTAATAACGAATAACAACTAATCATAATTAAATATAAATATCATTTTTTCCTTTTAATTGTTTATTTATAATTACTTTTAGTTATTTTATTTATAATTACAACTTAATTGCTGGTGCATGCAGCAGCCAGCTGCTGCTGTGGGCGCTGCGCTGCAGGGCAGCAGCAAATGTGAATTCCTCCCAAAGTTAAACCAGCAGCAGCAGCAGCAGCAGCAGCAGCGGGAGCTGCAGCAGCAGCTGCAGCAGCAAAAGGGACTGCAGCAGCGGCAGCAACTGCTGCTGCTGTAGTTCAACTGAGTCCTGCAGAGGAGCTGCTGCGTGCTGCTTTGGTTATGCACCTGCTGCTGCTGCTGCTGCTGCTGCAGCCGAAACACCTTGCGCCCCATGACCAGCTCCAGTAGGTGCAGCAGCAGCAGCCCCGGCAGCACTAGCAGCAGCAGCAGCAGCTTCAGTAGTAGTGGCTGCAGATTCTTTTCACCACTTAATTAAATCTTTTTTATTTTCATAATTAATAACAATTCTATTTTTTTTATTTTTCAAAAACCTTTTTTATTCTTTTGCTTTACTTATTTGCTTCTTTTTCTCACAGGTGGCGCAGCTGCCGCGGTGCAGCAGCGGTCCCTACCTCAAACCCTATACCCTAAAACCCTAAACCCTCGTGAGATGTCTGAGAGCTTCTTGCTGCTTTCACCCCTTCGCTAGTTTATTTGAATTGTTTATTTAAAATTAAATTAATTTAAATTGTTTTTGCATTTATTTAAAACGAATAATAAGTTGGTTTTTATCCTTCGAAGAAGCTGCAGCCCCTTTCCCGTCAGATTCGAAAGCTAGGGTTTAGGGTCTAGGGCTTCGAGAGGGGCTGCAGCAGCTGCAGCAGCTCCTGCAGCTGCAGCAGCAGCAGAAATAAATGGATTATAAATGGCAAATGGAGCTGCAGGTAGAAGGAAAGAAGAAAAAAAAGAAATGAAAAGATTAGAAAATAGAAGTAGTTGACCAGAAGGGCTCGCAGGTGTACGTACACCTGAAATGGGCAGCGCTGAGAGCAGCCGCGCGTCACAAATGGGAATTAAAAACGAAATAAATGAATTAAATGGAATTAAAAGTGAATTAAATGCAATTATTTGCAAATTAAATGCAAATTAAATGCAAATTAAATGCAATTTAATTCAAATCCGAGGAATTTGAACACCGCAGCAACACAAGCAGCTCCTTTTGCTGCTACGGCAGCTTTAGCCTTGCTGCAGTACTTCAGTTAATTTATTTTTCCTCGTAATTAAATTCCTTTTATTCCTTTCCGCATATCCACATTTCTAATATAATTGCAAGCTTCCTTATTAAGAACTGCTGCTGCTGCTGCTGCTACTGCTGCTGCTGCTGCTGCTGCCGCATCTTCATAACGCTGAGAAGGGAATTTTGATTTCTCCCCTCACCACATGCCCCAATAAATAAATTAATTTACAATTTATTTATTTATTTATTTATTTATTTATTTATTTATTCATTTATTTATTTATTTGTTTTTGCTACAGCCCGTGCTCCCGGGCCCCCGCAGCCTCCGTAAGGGGCTGTTCCTGCAGCGGGTCGAATTCGGGGGAGAGTTTTAAAAGATTGAAAATGCATGCATGCGTTTTGTCCCGAAGTTCTTCTGTGCTCAAACCCTAAAAGAGCGACAACCACAACAGCGAGGGTTTGGGGTTTCCAGCGAGGGTTTGGGGCTTGGGGCTTAGAGCGAGGGTTTGGGGCTTAGGGCGAGGGTTTAGGGTTTAGAGCGCGGGTTTGGGGCTTAGAGCGAGGGTTTAGGGTTTAGAGACAGGGTGTAGGGTTTAGAGAAAGGGTCTAGGGTTTAGACGGCGGGTTAAGGGTTTAGAGAAAGGGTTTGTGGTTTAGAGGGAGGGCTTGTGGTTTAGGGTTTAGAGAGGGGCTCGAGGGTTTAGAGCAAGGGCTTAGGGTTTAGGGTTTGCGTTAGGGTTTAGGCCTTGAAGGCTCCCTGAGGCCCCCGGAACCCGCGCTTTCCCAGAAATTAGGGTTTAGGGTTTAGGGTTTAGGGTTTGCCTCTGCAGGAATAAGGTCTCCGCAAGAAACATAAGAAGTTCCTGGATACAAAAGTTTGCTGCTCACTGGCCACAGCCGGAAGTTGTTGTGCAGCGCTGCAGCAGCAAAACAAAGCAAATAAATAAATTAAATTAAATTAGTTACATTAATTAAATTAATTAAATTAAATAATTAATTAAACGGTTGAATAATTAAGTAAAATAAATAAAACATAAGGATATGAAAGCTTCAGCGAAATCGAGGATAGACTGAAATGCAGCAAGCAGCAGCAGCAACAGACACAAAAGCACAACTGGAGGCGCAGCAGCTGCAGCTGGATCAGAAGCAGCAACAGCAGCAGCTGTAGCTGCTGCTGCTGTTGCTACAGCTGCTGCTGCAGCGCCTCTGCCGCAGCCGCTGCTGCAGAGCCGCTGCAGCAGCTGCTGCTGCAGCGCTGCTGCCGCAGCTGCTGCCGCAGCGCCGCTGCCGCAACTGCTTCTGCTGCTGCTGCTTCTGCTGCTGCTGCTGCTGCTGCTGCTGACCAATTGGCAAGATGTGGATGTCTGGGTTTTCAGCAGCAAGTCTGAAAAAGCCATTTTTAAAAGGCTGGAGTCTTCCCGAGACACTGCGGGTGCCCTCGGGGAAAACGACGACACAAATGCCGTCCGCCAGATGTTTCAAAGCTTCCTAAATGAACAAAACAAAATAAATTAAATAGATAAATTGAATTAATTAAATTAATTAAATTAAATAATTAATTAATTTAATTAAATGGAGTTCAAATCATTTCATGAACTCGCTTTGCAAGAAGATCAGCAAAGCCCACTGCGACGGCGTGGGGGAATGAGCCATCTTTGAAACAAGCAAACAATCGAATGAAGTGAATTCAATTTGATTTAATTCAATTAATTTGATTTAATTTAATTAATTTAATTTAATTATTTTAATTATTTTAATTACTTTCATCATGTCCTGCACAGAGCCGGGCTGAGTTCCCCAGCCGCCTCTTTCCTTCGTGAACTGTACAGACAGCGCGCCGGCCATGTACTGCGCCCATCCTGAAAGTGCAAAAAGAGAATATTTTGAATTATTTAAATCTCTTTGCCTTTTCTAACTTTTTTAATGCATTTAATTAAGACTTTATCCCTTCTACCAGCCTCAAATAATCAAAAATCCACAATTTAAACCCTCTTTCTCCGATCCGCCCGTCTTTTCAGCTGCTGCTTGCGCAGCAGCAGCAGCTGCAGCTGCAGCAGCAGCAGCTGCTGCTTGCGCAGCAGCAGCAGCAGAAATTTCTGCTGCCCAAAGATGTATTAAATATCAGAGATATCCGCACGAAGGTATTTAAATGCTTGAGAAAGCTAAATAATGCACACTTGAATAAATACGTTATTAAAAAATAGAATACTTTAAATGTATTTTTATTTTAAAATAAAACATTTATTTTTATATTTAATGCAGCAAAATTCAAAAAGCTTGTGCAATTATTCTGTGCAGACGAAACGCCAATTGAACTTGAAATTGAATTATTCAAATCTGAAAGCACTTTTACTCAAATTAAATTAAATTAATTAAATTAAATTAATTAAATTAATTCAATTTAATTAATTTAATTTAATTAATTTAATTAAATTAATTTGCAAACCTGCAATTGGGACTTTGAGGAGAGAGCGTTTGATGACGTAGATGGCGGGGTGGCCGATGAGCATGGAGCCGACGACCCAGGGGTCTGGGGAGGTGGAAATTGCGGAAAGGTGAAAAAAAAGAAAGAAAAAAAGAAAAATAAAACAAAATAAACGAAATAAATGAAAATAAATCCAAAAATGCACTCAAAAATCAACCAAAAGATCCCAAAAACTCCCAAAATCCACTTTGATTCACCTATTTTGCTCGTGTGGTTCACCACCACTATCACCTTCTTTGAAGATATCCCCGCAGGCAAAGGCCGCAGAACCCGCTTCCCCCAAAACGGCCTGCAGAGGTGGTAAGCTGCAGCAGCAGCAGCAGCAGAAGCAGCAGCAGCAGCAGCAGCAGCAGGTAGGAAGTGAGAAGAGCAAGTGGGACTCAGCAGCTGCTGCTGCAGGCACAGCTCGGACGCAGCTGAAACTGAGAAGGAGTCATCCCGCAGTCAGCAGCAGCAACAGCAGCAGCAGCAGCAGCAACAGCAGCAACAGCAGCAGCAGCAGCAGCAACAGCAGCAATAGCAGCAGCAGCAGCAGAAGGCACCGATGTCCATCAAGCGCTGGTGAGTCCCGCCCAGAATGACAATGCGGAGTCTGGGTTTGATGAGCAGCAGCGGGAAGAGGCAAAGACCCTCAAGGAAGAGAACGGCGCAGGAAATGATGAGGAAGAGCGACATGACGGTGTAGAAGTACACCGTTAGAAGAAATCGAAAAGCCGTATTTAATTTTTTCATTTTGAGATAAATAATTAAAACAGAATTCAACGGAATGTCCAAAAAGACAGAACTGAATTCAACTCCGACGGCCGCCCGCCAGCCACGCAACTTCTCACACTCAGCACCGCAACACACTGATCATGTTGGCAAATGCCACTTTTCGAACTTCCAAATCAATTATTCCGAAAGTTCTTTTCATTTTATTTCCCCAAATTCCAAACTAAACGCAAATTCCCCAGCTTTCCCCCAGCTTTCTGCTGCCGCAGCTGGGCTGTTACAGTGTCGTACAGCCCCATGCCAACATGCACAAAAGCTGTTTTTGCTGGATTCGAGCAAAAGTTCCTTCTCGTTCTTTCCATTTGAGTTTAATTCGTTTTATTCAGTCCAAATAAACCCGAGATTGCGCTGTATTCCCGCCTTTTCCCCAGGTTTCCACGCGGAATCCAGTTCTTGAATTCGCGTTGCGCATCCTCAGTTTGCCATCTTTTCGGCGGCTCCAGCTCTGCCCCAAACGCACCCTCTTCTCTAATATTGGAGTTGTCGTTTGTTTTTCTTTTGAAAGCTCTGCTGAAGCTTTAGATTTCTTCTCGAGAAATGGTGGAATCTGAGCCGGGACTTGCACAGCACTGCCAGCAGGCAGCAGCGGAGGCTCCCGGCTCTCCAGTGACGACAGCAGCAGCAGCAGCAGCAGAGGCAGCAGGCCCGTTAAACGCGAGCAGCAACGAAAACAGCAGCAGCAAACTGTCCAAAAACGCCCTGCGGAGGCTGCGGGCGCAGGAGCGGCTGCAGCAGATCAAAGAGCGGCGGCGGTCGCTGCGTTCTGCTGCGAAGCGGCGCAAGAAGTGCGCGCGGCGCGAAGCAGCAGCAGCAGCGGCAGCAGCAGCAGAAGCAGCAGGATCGGGCGAGCGCGAGGAGCCGCTGCTGCCGCAAGACTGCAGCAGCAGCAGCAGCAGCACGGGCGTGCGGCTGCGGCTGTGCATTGACTGCGACTTCGAGGAGCAGCAAACGGATTCGGAAATCTTTTCTCTTGTGCAGCAGCTGATGTACACTTACGGAGAAGCAAAAAGACTAAATCGGCAGCAAGACAAAAAGGCAGCAGTGCAGCGGCGCTGGAAAAGCGGCTGGAGAAACAAAGAAAAGCAGCTGCCTCAAGAGCCAGCAGCAGACGCAGCAGCAGCAGCGGATTCGGCTGCTGCTGCTTCCCCCAGCGACGCAGCAGCAGCGGCAGCGGATTCTGCCGCTGCCGCGCCCCCCAGCGACGCAGCAGCAGCAGCAGAGGATTCTGCTGCTGCTGCTGCGCCCCCCAGCGACGCAGCAGCAGCAGTGGCAGCGGATTCTGCTGCTGCTGCTCCCCCGAAGGACGCAGCGGCATCGCCAGCAGCAGCTTCTGCTGCTGCAGCGCCGGCCGGCAGCAGCAGCAAGGACAGCAGCGTGGGCTGCACCAGCACCAGCAGCACCTGTGAGAGCCCCAGCAACACCAGCAGCAGCAGCAGCAGCAACGACGCGGATTCGAGCAGCAGCAAGGCGCCCCCCAGCAGCAGCAGCAGCAGCAGCAGCAGCAGCAGCAGCAGCGCGGTGGAGCTGTGGATCGCGGGCGTGGGCCCGCGGGTGGCTGCTGCGCTGCAGCGAGTGCAGTGCGCGGGCCGGTGGAAGTGCGGAGTGAGCAGTTTGTCGTTTTTGGAAGTTTTTGAAAAAGAAAAAAAAGAAAATAAAATAATTTATTTGACAGCAGACGCAGCAGAAGAGCTGCAGACACTCGAGCGCGACGCGGTGTACGTACTCGGCGGCCTCGTCGACAGAAACCGATTCAAACTTCTCACTTTCAACAAAAGCCGAGCAGCAAACTTGCGCGCAGCAAAGCTTCCCATCAGCAGCGCCTTCTGCAGCAGCAGCAGCAGCAGCAGCAGCAGCGGCGGCGGCGGCGGCGCAGGCGGCCTTCGGGGGTCCAAGATCCTCACTGTCAACCAGGCAAGCCACACAAACCCTAAACCCTAAACCCTAGACCCTAAACCCTAGCTCGCGAGTCCTCAGACAGACTCTTGGGACTCGGACGGCTGCGGCTGCTGCTGCAGCTCCTGCTGCTGCTCATCTTGCGGCTGCTCCTGCTGCTCCGCATGCTGCTGCTGCTGCTGCCGCTGCTCACATTCCTGCTGCTGCTGCCCGTGGTAGTGCTGCTGCTGCTGCTGCTGCTGTTCCTGTTGCTGCTTGTATTGCTGCTGCTGCTGCTGTTCCTATTGCTGCTGCTGCTGCTGCTGCTGCTGCTGCTGCAGGTTGCTTCAGTGCTGATGGCCTACGCGGAGCTGGGCTGCTGGCGCGCAGCTCTTTCGCGTGTGCTGCCGCAGCGCAAAACTTGGGGGGTCACTTTGGAGGAAGAAGAAGAGCCTTTTGTCAACAATTTGCTGCTCGAAGAGTAGCTGCTGCTGCTGCTGCTGCTCCTGCTGCTGCAGGTCCTGCTGCTGCTGCAGGTCCTGCTGCTGCAGCCGCCGCCGCCGCTGAGGCAGCAGCAGCCGCTGCAGCAGCAGCCTCTGCTGAGGCAGCAGCAGCGTGATGCAGGAGCAGCCACTGCTGCGCAAGCCGCAACCTCTGCCGTTGCTGCAGCAGCAGCAGCAGCAGCTGCTGCTGCTGCTGCGGCAGTACCCGCGGGTGTTTTGAAGATTCAGATTCACATTTTTGGCGAATGAGGGAATGCAAATTTGCATGCATATCCAAAACACTATTTGTGTAAGTAAATATATTTAATTAATAGGCTCAAATGTTTTGCTGCAGCTGCTGCTGGTGCTGCGTGTGCAGCAGCAGCAGCAGCAGCGCATGCAGGTTGTGCTGCTGCGTCTCGCAGCTGCTGCTGCTGCTCGTGTCGGCGCTGCTGCCATTTGAGAAGACTTTGAAGTTCTCTTTCGAAATTTAATCCAAATGGGAACTTTAAAAAAGTGAAAAGACTTTAAAATCCCTTTTTAAATTCAAATGGAAACGCGAACTTCAAAAGGCGTTCAGCCGCGCGAGTTGCTGCTGCTGCAGCAGCGGGGGGCCCCACGAGCTGCTGCCGCAGCGCTGCAGCAGTTCTCGCTGGCGCGCGTCTTGGCGGTTCGTGGCTGTTTGAATGGAATTTGAATTTGAACTTGAAATTAAATGAATTAAACTTCAAACTAAAAGAATTAATGCAAGTTGAATGCAAAGTCCGCACGCAAACGAACAGACTTGCTTCCTGCACGGGAGCCGACAGGCGCTGGCTCGGCGAGCTGCGGCTGCGCCGTCTTCGTCGAATTTGGCGAAGTCCGAAGCAGCAGTTTAAAGCCGAAGAGGTGAAGCGAAATAAAAATAATAATTTTATTTAAATCGAAACAAACTGCAGCTTTCGCGGGCGACTGCAGCGCCGCGGCGGAGCTGCGCGGCGCCGCGGTCTCGCGTGGCTGCGGGCTGCAGCAGCAGCAGCAGCAGCAGCGCAGCAGCAGCAGATGCTGGCTCGACGGAAACAGCAGCAAAACGCAGTCAGTTTTGGAGTTTGGAAGCTGGAAAAGAAAGAAAAACGCGAAAATGGTGCTGCTTTCCGCATGCAACCCGCTGCTGGACATCGTGGCCGAGGTGCCCCGCGAGCTGCTGCAGCAGTTCGACCTTCCCTTCGGCGGCGCCGTTTTGGCAGCAGAAAAGCAAATTGAATTATTTTCCAAAATTCCCAAGGACTTCGAGTGCAGCTTTTTGGCTGGCGGCTGCGGCCAGAACACCGTGCGCGTCTACCAGGCCCTCTGCGGCAACAAAGTCCGTTCAAATCAACTTTTTTCCAACTTTTCAAGTTTCGCCAACTTCCCCTTCTTGTGACCCTTCGAAAGAATCCCCTGCTCCTCCACAGTCCAGATCTGAAGAGCTTTTCCCCGCACACGCCTTCCCTGCTGCGCAACTCCCGCTGCTGCTGCTGCTGCTGCTGCTGTTGCTGCTGCTGCTGCTGCTGTTGCTGCTGCTGCAGCCCGGAGAAAGCATGTTCCTCGGGAGCATCGGCAACGACAAAGAGGGGGAGCAGCTCAAAGAGCTCCTGGAGTCTCAAGGTGAACCTTGTTTTTCGACTTTCTCATCCCTTTCTTGCTGCTGCTCCTGCTGCTCCTGCTGCTCCTGCTGCTCCTGCTGCTGCTGCTTATTTTCTCCCCTCTGCTGCTGCTGCTGCTGCTTTTTTTGTCCCTTCTGTGCTCCTGCTGCTCCTTTCCTCCCTTCTGTTCCTTCTGCTGCCCCCTTTCTGCCTTCTGCTGGTGCTGCTGCCTCACCTGCTGCTGCTGCTGCACCTGCTGCTTCACCTGCTGTGCTTGCTGCCGCTGCTGCTGCTTCACCTGCCATCCCTGCTGCTGCCGCTCCACCGGCCGTCCCTGCTGCTGCTGCTGCTGTCGCTGCCGCTCCTCCTGCCGCCTCACCTGCTGCCCTTGCTGCTGCTGCTGCTGCTGCTGCAGGAATTGAAACTCTCTACAAAGTGTGCGAAGGGGAGCCGACTGGGAGTTGTTTGGTGCTGGTCACGGACAAGGAACGGAGTGTATGTACACGTCTGGGAGCAGCAACAAAAATAAATTTTGAATTTTTGAAATCCGTTTTTGAAAAAGTTCAAAAAGCTGATGCTGTTTACTGCACTGGCTTTCTCCTTTCTTCCTCCACTGAGGCGAGTCCATTTAATTAATTTATTTATTTCCTCTTGTTTATTGTTTGTTTGAATTTAGAGTCTATTATTTGTCCTAATATCTTTTTATTTCTTTTTGAATTGAAATGATCTTTGGATTCAATTTCCCGAAATGAAAGGTAAAAAGGCGGAAACAAATTGAAATAAATAATAAAATGAAGGAAATAAAGAGGAAATAGAAAAAAAAGAATAAGAGAAAGCCAAAAATAATAAATAAAAAGAAATAAAATAAGAAATAAAAGGGAAATGAAAAAGAATAAAAGTGGAGAGGACATTGAAGTGGCTGTTTGCAGGTGGCGATTGAGCTGTCTAGACACTGCGGAGCGACGGGGAAGGTGTTCGCGTTTAATCTGTCGGCTTCATTTCTTTTTGAAATTTACAAAAATGAAATAAAAGAAGTTTTGAAAAACACTTCTATTTTAATTGGAAACAAAGAAGAAGCAACAGCTTTTGCTGCTTCCTGCGGCATTGACTGCAGCGGCAGCATGGGCGACGTTGCGCTGCAGCTGCTGCAGCTGCTGCTGCAGCTGCAGCAGCAGCAGCAAACGGAAGAAGACGCAAAAGAAGCTCTAGAAAAGGCAAAAGATTCCAAAAAAGATGCAAAAGATGGAAAGGAAGAACTTTTGGAAAATGAAAATTCAAAAGTAAAAATAAATAGTTTTTTCAAAGCTGTTGTAATTACACAAGGACCAGACGCCGTCATTGTGGCCTCAACTGAGTAAGCAATTTAAATTCGATAATTTCTTTTTAATTAATTTGAACTTCAACAAAAGGTTTGTTGTTTCTTTCTCAACTAATTTGAATTTAAAAGAGGAGAAGGAAGCATAATCATTTCGTTTTAATTACTTCGAACTCAAGAACAAAGGAAAACAGAATTGCTTCTTGAGAATTAATTTAAATTCAAAACAAAAGCAAACTAAACCTGCAAAACAAATAAACTACTTCCTTGCTGCGTCTCTCTGCTGCTGCGCAGCACCACCCCCCCCCCCAGCAGCAGCAGCAGCAGCAGCAGCAAGTTGCGGGTGAGCTCGTACCCCACTCCGGAAGTGCCTGCGGAAGAAATAAAAGATCTGAATGGAGCTGGAGACGCTTTTGCGGGGGGCTTTCTGTTTGGGGCGTTGGCGCTGGGGTGTACGTACACCGCAGCGCAGCTGGGCAGCTGGTGCGCCGCGCAGGTCATCCGCCGCAGCGGCTTTCAGTTTCAAATTCAAAATTGTCCATTTTTGCCGAACTTGAACTTCAAAAAGGAAAATAAATCCCAAAAATCCGAAAATAAATCTCCGGAAATCCCGCAAAGTCCCCCGGAAACTTCTTTTTCCGAAAACGCGAAAAAATTCCAAGTCCAACAGCTCCCCTTCAACTGACGCCCTCCTGCTCTTCCACAAGTTGATTATTCTCATTATTATTTATTTATTTATTATTTTTTATTTATTATTATTTATTATTTATTATTTATTATTTATTGGTTGTTTACTTATTATTTGTTGTTTATTTGTTTGTTTTCTTTTTTCGCCAAGTTCAAATTTTCTGCTTCTCTCGGGTCTTCTTTCTTTGGCAAATTCAGTTTGCCAATTTAATTCATTTAATTCAATTCATTTAATTAGTTTAATCCAATTTGATTTAATTTATTTAATTAATTTGATTTAATTTAATTAATTTAATTAATTGAATTGATTCGTTGAATTGATTTGCTGAATTTGTTTGTCGTGTTTATTTGTTGGATTAATTCAGTTGATTAATCCAATTTATTTAATTGAATGAATTAAATGAATTAATTCAGTTATATTTAATTCATTTTATTAAATGAATTAAATGAATTAATTCAATTATTTTTAATTCATTTAATTAAATGAATTCAATAAATTAATTGAATTTATTAGATTCACATATTAAACTCGTAGCTTAGTGAGCTAATTATTTGCTTTAATTGAAAACAAATTAATCAATTCAGTTAAATGATTGATTGAATCAATTAATTAAATTAATAAATAAATTAAATAATTAATTTGCCAGTTCAAATGAACAATTAAGTTAAGTCAATAATTCAACTTCGCCCTATTTCTCCTTAAAACCCCAAACCCCAGCCCAGCCGCCGCCTCTCCAGGGCCTAGGGTTTAGGGTTTAGGGTTTAGGGTTTAGGGTTTTTGGCCCTCCCGGAGCCCTGGCAGTGCGTTTGCAATTTTTCTGCTTTTTAGACTTGAACTTTTTGACATTATTTATTTATTGTTTATTTATTATTTATATATATATTTATTTATTTATTTACTTTTTGAGTTTTGGCATTATTTCACCTTTTGCAGTTTTCGCGCATTTCGTTCCTGAGCTTTCAGGTGTACGTACACCCCAATTTACCCGCGTCGTTGGATTTATTATTTCAGAAGAATTTTTTCATTTTAATTTTAGTTTTTAGATATAAATGCATTTTATATTCTCTTTTTATAAAAGAAAAGAAAATATATTTCCTTCGGCTTGTCTTTAATCGAAAAGTGGAATTCATACAAATAAAAACAAAGATTAAAAAAATGTTTTTTGGAATTTAATTACAAGCATTTCAAACAAAAAGAAAATGAAAAAAGGAAACTCAAAAAGAATAAAAGCAGCAGCAAGTTTGGGTCTTTTGGAATAATCCGAAGCAGCAGGTTCTGTTTTCTTTTATTATTTATTTATTTATTTGTTTATTTATTTACTCATTTATTTATTTATTTGTGTTTCTAAAGCTGCACTTAGTCCCCCTCTTTGCTGCTGCTGCTGCTGCTGCTGGGGTCAGAGTTTGTTTGTTTGCTGCTGCCGCAGCAGCGCGAGGCAGCAGCAGCAGCAGCTGGTCTTGTTGCTGCAGCTCCTTCTTGAGGCTTTGCAGCTGCAGGAGCGCACACAGCTCAAACCCTAATTCAGGGTTTAGCAAGGCCGGAGGGCTAGGGTTTAGGGTTTAGGGTTTAGGGTTTACTTGTCGCTGCTGCAAGAACGCCTGGGCGTGACACAGCATGAGGTGCTGCTGCAGGTGCAGCGCCTGCAGCAGCAAAAAAAGAAAAGCATTTAAATTAAATTAAGCGCTTTATGGTTTAAAATATCTTTTACTGTTTTTATTATTTATTTTATTTTATTTTATTCATTTATTTTATTTTATTTTTATTTTATTTTAATTTCATTTTTTCATCCCAGTGAAAACGGGAGCTGCGCAGACACCGCAGAGCTGCAGATACACCCGAACGCCAGAGGAGCCAAACACTTTTAATTTTAATTCAATTTCATTTTACTTTTATTTTTATTTTTATTTCTAATTTATAAAAATAAGAATTCTGTAAAGATAAGATAATTCTCTTACGTGCTGCTGCAGACATTGGCTCTTCCGGGGCTCCTTGCTTCGGCAGTGCTGCTGTTGCTGCTGTTGCTGCTGTTGCTGCTGCTGCATCTGCAGCTGCTGTTGCTCCTGCTGCTGCTGTAGCTGCTTGTGTTGATGCTGCATTCGCAGCTGTTGCTGCAGCTGCTCTTGCTGCAGCTGCTCTTGCTGCTGCTGCAGCTGCTGCTCCAGCTGTTGTCGCTGCTGCTGCTGCAGCTTCAGACGCTGCTGCTGCTGCTGCTGCTGCTGTTTATGGGTTGCATCTAGGTGTGCAGCACCAAAGCCATTTATAAGATCGATATAATCCAGTTCATCAGCCTCACTTATATCATCACTTATTTCATTATTTATTTCATTATTTATTTTATTTATTTTATTTGTTTTATTTGTTTTATTTATTTTATTCGTTTTGCTGCAGCTCAAAAAACTCAGCAGCGGGGCCAACGCGAGGGCCAGTTGATCCGCTAGAGGGGCTGTGGCCTGAAAATAGAGTAAATTTGATTAATTAATTTAATTAAATTAAATGAATTAAATTAATTTATTAAATTAATTAAATTAAATTAAATTAAATTAATTAAACTGATGAAATATGAATGTAGATGGGTTTTGCTGTTGGTGGGTTTTGTTTATTTTTCTTTTGAGCAACTCAAGCCAAAGACATGCCGAGAACTGCAGCTAAAATGCAGCAGCAGCAGCAGCAGCAGCAACAGCAGCAGCAGCAGCAGCAGCAGCAAAAGCAGAAGCAGAAGCACCTGGTGGTGGCGCAGGAGCAGCGAGGCCTGCTGCGTTGCTGCTGCAACAACAGTGTACGCCTCAGCAATGGAGCGAGAAGGCTCAGCAGCAGCAGCAGCTGCTGCTGCTGCTGCTGCAGGTGTGCGCTGCTGCTGCTGCTGCTGCAGCATACAGGTGCTGCTGCTGCTGCAGCAAGAAGCAGCTGCAGTAAGGAGCATCATCGGACACGGAAAGAGAATGATGCAAATTAATTGCTTGAGTTTAAAACAAACAAATTTTAAAATTAATTATTTGGTAAGTTTAATTAAAGTTAAATCAATACACAGAAAGTTGATTATTAATTAAATTAGATGCATTTTTCATTAATTTAAATAATCCAATTAAGTAAATTAATTAAATCAATTCAAATAATTTAATTAATTTAATTAATTTAATTAATTAGATTAATTAAAATGGAAAGAAAGCAAGAAAGAAAACTTCATTTCAAATTCAAAATAAAAAGCTCCGCATACACCGCAGAGCCATTTGGGGTGTACGCGCAGCTGCATGCATTTCCGCACTTTCGAATTTTTAGATTCTTTTTAATTTTAAAAGTTTATAATTAATTATTTAAAAAGCAATTTTATTTATTTATTAATTGGCTTTCAAATGCACTTATTTATTCAGCAATTCTCCCATTAATTATTTGTTTTTTGACTTTTCCTTTTTCCAAACTTGCACCCATACACCCTGCGGTGTACAGACAGCTGGGGGCCCCATGAGTTTTGATTTGGAACTTTTCTTTGGCGCCTTTTCGTTTTATTTTTATTATTCTTTTTAATTCACAAATTTAAAAATGTGTTTTAACAAATTTGCTGCAGCTTCTTATTTGCTGCTTTTGTTTAGAGCCTCGTGTGTACCTACTGACTTGCTGCTGCTGCTGCTCTTGCTGCTCCGGCTCCACCTGCTGCTGCTGCTGCTGCTGCAACTGCTGCTGCTCCTGCTGCTGCTGCTGTTCCCTTTGCTGGTGCTGGCCATTGCCGTGTTGCTGTTGTAGCATCTGCTGCTTTTGCTCTTGCTGCTGCGCCTGCTGCTGCTGCTGCAGTATCTGCTGCTGCTGTAGTATCTGCTGCTGCTGCAGCTGCAGCTGCTGCTGCAGCAGCAAACTTGCCTGGCGTGCCTCAGCTGCGCTTTTAAATAAAGCCTGAGAAAAAATGTGATCGAAATAAATAAAAACAATTGAATTAAAAATAATTAAATTAGAGAAATAAATAAAATTAAGAAGCAAAGAAAATGAATTAAATGCATTAAATTCAAAAAGACAAAAAGCAACAAAATGAAATAAAGCGATAAAATGTTCTTTGTTTGTTTTCCAGTTCTTTTATTTTACTTTATGTTGTTTATTATATGTATATTGTTTATTTATTTTATTTATTTCTTTATTTAGTTATTTGCTTCTTATTTTATTTATTTATTTATTTTATTTATTTTGCTTATTTATTTATTTATTTATTTTTAAACCCACATATATGCGAAGAGAGGCAAAGGCAGTACGCAGTTGCTGCTGTTCGTGCTGCTGCTGCAGCCGCTGCTGCAGCAGCTGCTGCTGCTGCTTCTGCCGCTGCAGCAGCGTCAGCAGCTGCTGCTGCTGCTCCTGCCGCTGCAGCTGCTGCTGCCGACTATGCTGCTGCTGCTTTTGCTGCTGCGTGGCCTGCTGCAGCTGCCGGAAGGCCCTGCGCAACACCAGCTGCTGCTGCTGCTGCACCAGCAGCAGCAGCAGCGCAGCAGCAGCACCACGCAGCTTAGCTGGGGCCCCACAGATGCGCCGCCAAGCTCCAAATGCATGCATTTTATTTTTGTTTTGTTTTAAGTTAAAAAACAAATTTGCTGCTGCTTCCTTTTGGCGCTGCTGCAGGCAGCAGCAGCTGCAGCACCGCAGCAAAACAAAAGCAAAGTTAATCAAATAACTAATTATTTAATTTCTTTTTTTAAATTAATAAATGGACTATTTATATAATTAATTAATTTATTTATCTATTTATTTACTTATTTATTTTTATATATTTTCTTACAGTGTATGGACAGAGAGACGGCTAAGCGCATGCATTTTAATCTTTTCTTCTTTGGCCTGCAGCAGCAGCAGCAGCTGCTTGAGTTGCTGCTGCTGCTGCTGCTGCTGCTGCGCCGCTGCTGCTGCTGCTGCTGCAGTGCTGCGCCACTGCATCCACAGCTGCTGCAGCAGCAGCAAATTCGACTGCCGGGTCTTTAACGAAGTGTAGACAGCAAATCTGAAATAAAAATGAATAAATAAACAAATAAATAAATAAATAAATTTGTTAATTAATTAATTAATTAATTAATTAATTAATTAATTAGCACTTAATAAATACATTTTTTTTGCTTTTTGGGTCTTCTGTGTCCATTGTCTCCAGCAGCAAAAGGTGGCTTTTGCTGCAGCAGCAGATTGTCTTCTTTCTGCTGCTGCTGCCCATGCCTCTATTGCTTTCTGCTGCTGCTCCTGCTGCTGCTGCTGTCTTTGCTGCTGCAGCTGTTGCTGTTCTTGCTGCTGCTGCTGCTGCTCCTTTTCTTGCTGCTGCTTCTGCTTCTGCTGCTGCTCTATGCAGCCGGAGCACGGGCTGTTGCTGCTGCAGCTGCTGTTCCTGCAGTAGCAGCAACTGCTACTGCTGCTGCTGCTGCTGCTGCCGCTGCTGCTGCTTCGTGCTGCATGCATTTTTAAATTTCCAAACGCTGCCTTAAGGGCCCCACGACGAGCAGAAGAAAAAAAGTGCTGCAGCAGCAGAGCCAAACACCAGTGGGACTGCATTTGCTGCTGCTGCTGCTGCTGCCGGGACTTCAAGGCCTGCTGCTGCTGCAGCTGTTCCTGAGGTTGTTGCTGCTGCTTTGAGTGCTGCTGCTGCGGCGGCAGCAGCAGCAGCAGCAAAGGACGAAATCCAGCAATGAGGCAGCGGCGAGCAGCAGCAGAAATTGCCCCAGACAGTCTGTAGATGCCTGTAGACAGCAGCAGCAGCAATGGCAGCAGCAGCAGCAATGGCAACAGCAGCAGCAAATGCATTTTCGAGTTTGTATGTACCTGCAGCGGTTTTTTACTTTTTAGTTCGTCCAATTAATTAATTAATTAATTAATTATCTAATTAATTAGCTTTAATTAGTTAATTAATTAATTACGTAATTATAGATAATAAAAAATATATAAGTATTCGATGGATTCTCTTTTTGTTGCCGCTGCTGCAGCTTTGCAGCAGCAGCGGCAAACAGAACCGTTGGTCCTGCTGCTGCTGCAGCAGCAGCAGCAGCAGCACCAGCTGCTGCTGCTGCTGCTGCTGTTGAGAGCTTACCTACGCATGAAGTGCAGCTGCTTCTGAAGTCTTTTATTTGTCTTTTGTCTCCTTTTGATCTGCTGCTCCTATGCTGCAGTTTGTCTCCAGATTTAGGGGAAAAGGGAGATATAAAATGAAGTGAGCTGCTGCTGCTGCTGCTGCTGCTGC